CCCTCTTGGGATAACTATACCCAAAAGGACAGTAACTATTCAAGCTTGAGAGCTGGCAGAACCCGCTGTAGTGCTTCCGATGCCATCACTCCCTGACTCTCCATGACCCGCCGCCTACAGAGGACTTTCAGATCATCGTCAACTAAGACCAACAAACTGTTCACATGGGGCCCTCCAACTAGAGCCAAGCTTTGCCCTTGTCCTGACAGTGTGAGGCCCTAAGCACCACACTGAAGTGTTTTCCCACTCTCTGGTGATTACATCTTTAGGTAAAGCCTCTTAAAACTATAAATGAGTATTTCTTCAGACTCCAAGTTGATAAACGTGTCTCCTTCTCACTGCTGAGTGAAGAGTCCCACTCCACTCCTATAGCTGTGCGACCTTAGACGATTGGCTCCACCCGTCTAGGCCTGGCCATAGCAAGGAGAGAAAGGATGCCTGTGGGACACAGGCCACAGGCAAGAGATAATGCTCTTGTACACTGAAAAGACTTGTCATCCGTATTAATTTAATAAAACACTTATTAGCCAGTGGCCAGGTGGGGCAACCGGGAAAACAAAAGGCAGGGAGTCAGTCACAAGCCAGATGCAGAGGAAGCAAGACGAGAATGCCTTGCTAAGAAAGGTACCAAGCCACGTGGCTAAGCACAGACAAGAACTATGGTTAATTTAAGTTGTAAGGGCTAGTTAATAATAAACCTGAGCTAATAGCGTAAACAGTTTATAATTAATATAAGCCTCCATGTGTTTCTTTGGGGGCCGAATAGCTGTGGGACCAGGCAGGACAAAAACTTCTGCCTACAGTCACTGGCAGGGCATCATCCCAGTTGTGTGGTTACACAGTTAACACCCGTCACCATCTTCTGATAAGAAGGAGGTCCATCACAGGATAACCAGAATCTGAGCTATAACCTAAAGGAAATAACACATAAAACAGGCCAACAAGTCACATTCTCCAAGTGAGGCAGTTTGAAAGAAAATGGGCCCAAAGAGAGTGACACCCTAGGTGGTGTGGCCTCATTGGAGGAAGTATGTCACTGTGGGGACAAGCTCTGAAGTCTCTATTGTTCAAGCTTCCCTCAGCATGATAGGCAGTCAACTTCCTATTGACTGCAAGACGTAGCACTCAGCTCCAGCATCACGTCTGCCTGCATGTTCCCCATCATGATGATAATGGACTGAACCTCTGAAACTGTAAGCAAGCCACATCAATTAAACGTTTTCTTTATAAGAGTTGCCGTGGTCATGGTGTCTCTTCACAGCAATAGTAAACCCTAATTAAGACAAACCAGTACCAGAGTATTAGGGTATTGCTGTGACAGGCCTAACCATGTTCCACGTTTTGGCTTGGAATAATAAGGACTTTGGGACTTTGGGTTAGGAAAGCAGTAGAATGCTTTAAGCACTGCTTAACATAGCATACTGGTAGGAGCATGGAAGACAGTGGTGTTGATGATTGAAATGTCAGGAGCTGGCTCAA